TTCTCTATTCCCTCCCTCCCCTGGCCTCCGTGCAGGCCTGGAACAGGGCTTCGGTGGGGGTGGGGAATCCGAATTCCAGGCAAGGAGTTGCCTGAGGGGCCTTCATCTCCTCCACTTCGCGCACCCCCCTTCCGCCCCAAGCCTGGTGTTGTGACATTCCTGGGCAGCGCCTCTGCTGTTCCCAGTGTAGACTCCAGCCCAGCGATATAAGCTCTCCTCTCCGCCTTTCACTTTATCCCTATAGAGAAACCCAAAGAATTTGTCTCTCAGGGTGCAAGGAATTGCCCCCCTTTCTATAAACTTGAGCAAGAACTAAGGGTTTGTAAAAGAACCAGAAGTTGGTTATCTGTAATAATCTGTTTTGCACCCACTCCCTGCCTTTGTGTCTGGAGATCCATGGAAGGGAGGAGCTTAATAATGTTTTTCCCTCCTTGTTCAAAAACCTTACCATGAAGCCTGAGGATGAAGTATTAAGCAGGGAGTACTTGCCCTCCATTTCCCCCAATGCCCAGGCTGCTGTTTTTATTTAATATCTGCTTAACTGGTGATGGCTTGGTTCCAGCACATGGTGCTGAATGGTGGTGGTGGTGGTGTGGGGAAGCAGAAGTTTGTGGCCCAACGGCTCTATCATGGGACCTTGTGAGGGACTTGGAGTTGGAGCCTGGCGACTGGTGCTCTGGGTTGCAGCAATTAGGCTGCCCAGGAAGCCGGTGCCGGAGCAGCTCTCCAGCTGCCTGAGGAGAGGGAGGACTGGGCCAGGTGAGGGTGTTCTACTGGGCAGCACAGGCGTTTTTGATGAGGACCCTGTGGGATCTGGGCATTAGTAAATAGTTGGGGGTGTCCTGCATTGTGAGACGCCAGCTCCGCACGTCCTCTCTAACCCTCTGTGAGAAGCAAGGAAGAAGTGAGGGGTTCAGTGCTGTGCTTCTCTTTATTGTTAGAGGCCCTGAGAGCCTGAAAGGAAGTTTGATCTAGTCTAGCATCACGGGCTCAAAAACGCGTTATTTTTTTATTACATTCTCTTTGTAGAGAATTCAAGCTTTACAGAATGCTAAAGTCCATCTTAGACCTTCCCCTTCTCTGGCTTCTGATGCAGAGTCTCGGTTCCTCTATAACTTGACTTAATTTAACCCCTGTGTTGCTGCCCAGGAGGATGCCAGTGGAGGTGGAGGAAATGATCGAGTGCGGAACTTGCAGAGTGAGGTGGAGGGAGTCAAGAATATTATGACCCAGAATGTGGAGCGGATCCTGGCCCGGGGAGAAAACTTAGACCACCTTCGCAACAAGACAGAGGATCTGGAAGCCACAGTGAGATGGGGAACCCACTGGGGGCAAAAGAAAAGAGAGGGAGGGAAGATCTTAGAGAATTTGGGGGTTGGTGGTGTTGGGACAAAATGAACAGGAGGGAAGTCTGTTTTTACCTGTTTTGGGAATTGATGTAAGCCGAGCCCCAGCTTCTCATGCTGTTCTACTCCACTGATAGGTACTCATCCAGGGAATGGGCCCACTGGCTGGGGTTGGTGGCTGGGGCTGACCCACAGAGGCATTTTCTGAGACAGAGGAGTGAATCCAGGCATTCTTAGGCTTTTCTCCTATGAAACTGATTTTCTTTTTGAAGGCTGCCTCTGACAATCATTCAAACCTGGCCTCCCCAGGGCAAAATATTGGCTTTGGAAAATCCTCCTAGGGCCTTTGACCTTCTCCAGGAGTTATGAGGCAGAGGGTGAAAAACTGGTAAAGGCTTGCTGAGTCATCTTTAAGAAGAAGCTGGGAAGAGCAGTGAGATTCTTTGGTGGTGACCTCTGCTAGCTGAAGGCTAAGATAGTGTCTTCCATCATCTCGCTGGACCTCATTCTTTCTCCAGCCAGGGGCCAAAGCCAGGTGCTCAGGAAGGGAGTAACTCTAAAGTTCAATGAAGTCTGGAGCCTAAAGGTCCTTGTCCATGGGGAGACACTGGCTGTGGCTTTATGAGTCCTTTGTGTAATCATGGGCATAGCTCCTTCATCTCCCTGGGGCTTAGTGCTTCTTTCCGCAGCCTAACCTGGGGAGCGTGGCCCAGTGAAACTTAGTTTCTGTGCCTCCAGTTTGGAGAGGAAGCAATTTCCCTCACTTCCAACCACCATATTCCCCTCAACCCTTCTCCAGCTTCTGTAGTCCCCACGCGGCAAGGAGTCATGGGACCTGGGGAGGTGCCGTCCTGGTCCCTGTCCCTCCCAAGGGGTGGATTGTGCTGCCAGTGTCACACCCCCGGGTGTGAGCACGTGTGAAGGTTCCTACACTGTGCATGACAGTGTGGGGTGAGAAGAGAAGGGGGCAGGGAGGGGGCCGGCAGGGGGAGCCCAGGATTTCTCAATTTAAGCTTGGCCCAGCAGATGGTTATGAAAGTACTATATTTGTCAGGGTAGGGGGACAGGACACTTACTATTTAACAGTCTGTTACCTCAACTTATCACTTAAATATTTAGATGTATGGCATGTGGGTCTGTGTTTGTCCTTTTGTTCCAGTGGGAGGAGGTACTGAGTCACTCTTTATTGTTCCCTGCAGTCCGAGCACTTCAAGACAACCTCGCAGAAGGTGGCTCGGAAGTTTTGGTGGAAGAACGTGAAGATGATTGTCCTCATCTGTGTGGTTGTTCTTATCGTCGTCGTCTTAATTGCTCTCTTTGTCTCTGGTGTCATCCCCTAAGTGACTTAGGGAGCCCCTCCCACCTTGCCCTCCTTTTCTTGGCATTCCTCCATGGTGGGCGTCTAGAGGGGCCCTCTTTCCCATCAAACTCCACAGGGAATGCTGCTCAGTCCTGTGTCCCCTCACTCTGAGGTCCCTCTGCCACACTGTCTGCCCCAGGAAGGACCCCGGTCCCCTGAAAGGAGAGAGCTGGAGTGTGGCTGCATTTCGTAAGTCCTCAGAGTTGGTTGGAGAGACCCGGGGAGCCCAGTATGTGGCTGGGACACTGATGGTGCCTGGTGGGCAATAAAGACCCTTCAGAATCCCTACATTTGTGAACATTTGTGAGGTGCTTTCTCCCTTTACATTTGGTCTTTGGCCCTTTTCTCCCTGAGGACACCCTCTGGCTGAGATTCTCCCATTTGTGTCCCAAGTTGTTGGCGAGGGGGAGTGTAGATTTGGAAAAGAAAGATGGAGCCTCCCTTTTTTTCTTTTATACCCCCTTGCTCCATTCAAGATCACAGGTCTCAGGAACATTTTCTGGGAGCCTCGGCACATGGAACATGCAAAACCTTCACAGCATTTTAGGATGGTATGCAAGACTCCTGAGTGTCCCCCTTGGGTTTTGCCATTTCGCTTCATTACGTTTCTGATGGAAATGTTAACTGAGACATGAGGCCTACCTGGACTGAACATCCAGGAATCTGGTTAAGGGCCTCCGGCCTCTCCCATCATTGCCGTTTCTCTTCTGTGACCTTGTTGTAGTCTAGAGTCGGGGTCAGGGGAACTGGACTGCTTTTCCTTCTCTTGTGGTTCTGCCAATTCTATTTGTCTTTTGCCTGCTCCTGCCCTTCTGAGACTTAGCAGGGCCGCTGGGTCTCAGCTGCTCTCAGGAGGCGAGCATCCCTCCCGCGTGTCCTGTGGCTGAGCACAGTCAGTATCACAGGACAGGGCCTCTGGCTCTCCTTCCCCTCTGTGGACAAAGGGACTCTGTCTTTGTGCCTCCCTCCTCCCCACCAGGTTCCACTGCCATTGTCACTCTTTCCAGTGCCCAGTCTGCCTTAGTTTGGGGAAAGGCTTCTTGCTCTCTCTGTCCCATTTTCCCCATAGGTTTTCCAAAATTGAAAACAAGCTCTTTGGGGAAGGAGTGTGGGATGGGCAGCATCAGGAGACGGGATTTGGGACTAGTACTGCACCAAAAACTGGGGAGGAGGAGGAAAGCACAGAACAGACTATCGGATAGTTTTGCCAGGACGATGTCCATCCTCTGTCTGCTCTGTCCACTGCTGGACTCCAGGGGCAAGGAACTGGGGTGAAACGTCTTCCTTGGAACCCAGATTGTCCAGGATGGGGGTTAGATTTGTGCTCACAGGCAATCAACCCTGGAGAGGGAAGACATCAACCCCCTCCCTCAAGAGGGGCCACATATTTTATTCAAATTATAGGAGAAAGTTTATTTAGAAAGTTACAGAGGTAGTAGAAGTGAGTGAACTGGGCTGCCTAGGCTCAGGAAATGAGTCACAGAAGCAAAAAAAAGGGTCCTTTGGGAAAGTCAACGGTAAAGCGCCTGAGGGGAAGAAGGGGGGGGGCAGGGAAGGCCAAGAGGGGCCACATTTGAGGTGATGGGGGTGGCATGGGGTAGGGTGAACAGGTGATCATTGACCTCCCTACAGCAATGAGGAGAGGATGAGGATGGAGAGATTCACCTCGGGAGGACTGTGGGGGGCAGTAAGCACAACAGCCTCACACCTCCCTCCACTGAGGAAGGATCAGATCCGGGCAGCACTGCACTTGCCCTCCTGGGAAATACAGAAATGCTAGAGCTGGCACTTTCCCCATGCCCAGTCTGTTTTTTAATTGAGGTGAAATTCACATAACGTACCTTTGACCATTTAAAAATGTACAATTCAGTGGCAGGTAATACATTCATAATGTTTATTGTGAATAAACTTTTTTTAGTTTCAAAACTTTGGGGGGATCTGTTTTTGGTTAAGGGTGAGATGCTGGCTGTCCAAGGTGTCTCCAGCGCCCAGCAGTGCCTGACAATGGTGCTCACACAGTTGCTTGTTGAGCGAATGAACCGTGCCTCCCCAAGTAAGCCCAATCTATCTGATCTTGGATGCAGCCCCAGAGAGACCTCGCTGAGCCCCGCGCCGCCCCCCCCCCGCCCCCACACCGTGCCCATTTCTTAGATAGGGCCCGGAGCTGTAGCCAGCGTGTAGACCTGGTGCCAGGCTCAGGCTCAGCCCCAGTGCAAGAGGCTGGGGAGTCGTCTGAAGCTGGGTGGAGGAGGCACCCTAAAAACCCTCGTCGTAGCAGACTGCTTTCGATTTTGGACTTAGTATCCGCTGCTGGGGAAGGCGGGACGCACCCCCCTGTTCCCCCGCCCTTCCCCGCCCCTCTGCTTCCTCTTGGCTCGGGTGTGGGAGCCTCTTTGCCCGCTGAGGTGCTGGAGCAGCCGGGCAGCGACTGCGACAATGGTGAGGGCCCGGGCCGCGTGGGGCGGGCTGGGAGAGGGGTAGAGGGTGAGCAAAGTGTGTGACACAGGAGTCCGAGGGTGGGGGCACTCCCGGGACCGCAGATCCACAGGTGAGACACCACACCAGGGACAGGGCTGGGGCCGGAGCCTCCACTGCCCTCGCAGATGGGGAGGGAAAGTAGAGTGAGCCCCATCGGCTGCCCCTGTCCCACAGGCTGCCCCTGTCCCTGGTGGAGCGAGTGATACTTGGCTTGCACTTCCGTGAGCCTAGTGGTTGCGAACATCAGCCTCAGAGTCAGACTGAGGTCTTGGTGATGGCCACTTACCTGCTCTGTGATCCTGGGCAAGTCATGTAAACTCTCTGAGCCTCCTTCTCCTCATCTGTGAAGCGGGGTCAGTAACACCTACCTTGCTGGGTCCATGTGAGGTTAAAGAAAATAGAATGGCAGAGACCCACCTGCCCGGCACTCGGCACTGGGAACCCTCTCCTGAGAAGTGGTAGGTAACTTGATGACCTCTAGCCCTTCCTGGGGCTGTGAGGAGTCAGGCCTGGCCCGGGGAGTTGGAAACCTGAGCAGATGAGGTGGTTGGAGATTGAGCCAGCGTATGGCAGGCTATTGGAAAGGAAAGAGAAAGATGTTTACTGCCAAAGTTCCACTGAAGTTATCAGTGTGACATAGGTCTGACTCCCTCCTAACCCCTATCTAGGGACACATTCCTGACATGAGTCATCCACCACTCCTGCTGTAGATTCCGGCCTCTGCCCTCCTTTGCCATCTCTGAGGCAAAGGTGTCAGGAACAGGTGGTGCCAGTTGCTGTCCTCCCCTCCCCTTGGGAAGATGGGCCCAACAGGAAGCGGCTTGGGGCTTTAAGGTTCTGTTGCAGAGAAGCTGGCAGAGGTGTGATGGAAGGGTCGCTATGGGTTGCCATGCCTGGATGGCCTCATCGCCAGGGCTCTGGAGGCAGGAAGAGGAAGCTGGGCAGGAAGGTAGTGCTGAGCTCTAAGGCCATGCCAGGAAACTGAGGGTGGCTCTGGGAATGGGACAGAGTCCAGACCCCACTTCCCATCATGCAGGGCAAGGGATCAGGCAGGGTTAGGGGTGGCCTTCCAGCTGGCCCTTAGCAGCTGGGGAGAAGAAGCTCCTGAAATGAAGGCTGAGGGTAGGATAATTTATTGGGGGACACTGGGACACTTGGACTCTCACAGGTTGAGGCAAATAGTAGATCAGAGATTGGGAAGGGTACATTGATCTCTCTCCCTGTCCCATCTCCTGTCCCCATTCCTCTGTTCTTTCATTCCAGCCCTTTCCCTTCCTTCTTCCCATCCCCCTTCCCTACCTGGTTCTTCTTCCTTTCCCTTCTCTTTTCCTCTTCTCTGACTTAATCAAGTATTTCTTGTTTTTCCTTTGTACCAGACATGGTGATGGAAGGGTATCAAGGATAGGGTAGGGACAGTGATGGGAAAGATGGAAATAGAATGGGTGATGATGTGAATTCATTCATCTTGTAGACAGTTCTCTCTCATGTGCTGCCTAAAGAATTCTGGTTTTGGCCTCCACATGCAACAAGTTGGGTTGACAGCATCAAAAGGCCTGCCAAGTCCTTAGCCAGCCAGCTGAAGCATTTGGCCTCTCTTTGCCTACATTTGGTTTAACACAAGTATTAAGAATGTGATCCTTGCCCTGGCCAGGTGGCTCAATTGGCTGGAGTGTCATCCATACACCAAAAGGCTGTGGGTTCGATCCCTGGTCAGGGTGCGTACCTAGGTCGTGGGTTTGATCCTCAGTTGGGGCTTGTGAGGGAGGCAGCCAATCCATGTTTGTCTCTCACATCAGTGTTTCTCTCCTGCCCTTCCTCTCTCTCTGAAATCAATAAACATATCCTCGGGTGAGGATGAAAAACAAAGAATGCGATCATTGAAAAAGAAAAAAGAATGTGATCCTCAGAGTTTGTGTTGGTTCAACTCCCAGGACTTCTACTCGCTCGCTCTGTGACTAAGTGGATGATTTACCCCCTCTGAGCCTGTTTCTTGTAAAGCTGAGATAATAGTAATGACCTCATTAGGTTGTTTTGATGATTATTAAATGAGATAAAGCTAACAGAAAGGTAGCTTTAGCTCAGCTTTAGCCCTGCTTAGCTCAGAGTAGTGTCCACTGAATGGTGTCTGTTATTACTATCAAGATGTAACACCTTCTCAACAGCCTGTAATGCAGGGGTGTCAAACTCATTTTCACTGGGGGCCACATCAGCCTCGCGGTTGCCTTCAAAGGACTGAATGTAATGTTAGGACTGTATAAATGTAACTACTCCTTAACAGTTAAGCGAGAGCTCGGTGCTGCCGCTGGGTAGAAACAAGGCGGAGGGCTGGATTCAGCCCATGGGCCTTGTGTTTGCCATCTGTGCTGTAGTGCCTGATGGAAATAAACTAGATGCAGGTTCTCAAAGGCCCGTGTAAAGTTTTGTATGTAGGTTAGAAAAAATCAAGGGCACAAGTTTACCACAAGAAGGAGCTTTCTTGGCTGTGTATTTTGTAAAAACATCTAAAAGGTTTTTTTGAGCACAAGTATTGTGCAGTTCTTGGGATCTGACTGTTACAAAAAAAGCTGGCCCTGGTGTGGCTCAGGGGAATGAGTGCAGACCTACAAACCAAAATGTCTCTGGTTCGACTCCCAGTCAGGTCCCACGGGGGTTGCGGGCCAGGTCCCCATTTGGGGGCATGTGAGAGGCAACCGATCGATGTTTCTCTTCCTCTCTTTCTCTCTCCTTTCCCCTCTAAAAGTAAATAAAAATTTAAAAAATAAAGCTAAGAAAAATTGGACTACTATTTATTGAGCATCTAGTGTGTCAGGAATTGTGCCACGCATTTTATTTCTTGTATGTCGCATGTCCTAGGTAATATTATGGTAGATATTATTGTCACCATTTTATAGATGAGGAAGTGGCAGGTCAGAAAGGCCACGTCCTCAGTCTTCAGTCACTCTGCTGGTGAGCAGCAGAGGCAGGGGTTGAAGGGACCCAGGGCTGCAATGCAGAGAGCCCTGCCCTAGTCTCTGAGCTCAGGTGAGGAAGGGGCTGTTACACCTGGTCACTGCGCAGGTCCATCTGACCACTATGACGGCAGTTAGAATAGGGTTTCTTAGGCACCAATTTAGAGCAGAGACAAGAGAGTTAGGACAGGGAGATTTTGAGAGCTTTGTTTTTAGAGGAACTAAGGGCATTTGGCCTGGAGAAAACTGAGGGGACATTTGAGCAGCGAAGGAGGGGAATTCTGTATAGAGGGTCACTGTCTGTCATGAACATTTCATATATACTTACCACCCTCTGTCTGGCAGCATACTGGTGCTCCGCTCTCCCCCCCCCCCCGGCTCACCACCTCAAGCCCTTCAGGCTGCTGGCAGGGCTGGGCAGTGCCTCTCTCCCCTACCCGTCCTCTCTACACTCTATGTCCCCCGCCACCCGCCCCACCTGGTGAACATTTCACACCCTTGCTGATGGCACTTCTCGCCCCCTCTGCAGCCACCCTGCAGGGGTCGCAGGGTGGCCCCTCTGGCTGGCCTCTCTGCTCTAAGTTTTCTCACTGCCATCCATGCCAGTCTGCCACCAACAGAGAAACTATCTGAAACACCTCTACAGTGTTGTCCTTGGCTCAGAAACCTATGCTAGCTCTTGTTCTATCCCTCCCTCCAAGTGAGCTTCCTCTTCTTGACTTCTACTGCTTTCTCCGGCCCGTCCTGCCCCTCTGCCTTTGCCTTCTGCCTGGCCCTTTGCTGTCCCGAGTGTGTCTCTGTCTCTCTATGCCCGGGACGCCCCAGCTCCACCCCATCCTTCAAGGGCTCGCCCCACCTGTCTGTGGAGGTTCTCGGGAAACACCCTTCTGCAGGCAGCTCCAACACTCTTTGTATCTCCCAGTGCAACTCCCCACTCTTCTCTAATTGTGTCCAACATGTCTCCTTCCTCAGCCTTTAGGTGTCTTCCTAAGAACAGGTGCAATTCATTCAGAAAATATTTTCCACATGGTTTCTGTGTGCCAGGCACTAGTCTGAATTCAATGTGGCAGCAGGCAGCTTGGCCTTGACTCTGGTCGATACTTCCTTCCACATCCTATAGTTCTTTAGTTGAGCGGGGCCAAGGAAGGCCAGAAACTTGAGCCTGAGGCCTCTGTGTTTCTTGGAGTGGATGTGTTCTTTTCGGTCTGGACCTACCTTGGTTCCAGATGGGCCTGGCATCTAGTGGGGGAAGGAGGCCGCAGATTGCAGTGGGAGGCATGGCCAGCCCTCCTAGAGAATGTGACCCGATGTCACCCCACATTGGAGAATAAAATAACAACAGCTGTCGCTTTCAGGGTAGAAAAAATAATATCCAGTATCCCACTGATCTCTCATAGTGATTCTCATTTTTAAATCTTTGTCCATTTCCAAGTTTTTGCCTTGGATGATTTGAATGTGGGGAATGACTTGGACTGTTTGTAAGTGAGAGGCTCTGCCCTGGCTGGTGTGGCTCAGTGGACTGAGTGCCGGCCTGCAAACCCGAAGGTTTCTGGTCAGGGCACATGCCTGGGTTGCAGGCCAGGTCCCCTGTTGGGGCATGTGAAAGGCAACAAATTGATGTTTCTTTCACACATCGATGTGTCTCTCCCTTTCTTCCCCTCTCTCTAAGAATAAAATCTTAAAAATAAAGTGAGAGACTCCAAATAATAGGACCTTGTTGAATAATCTAGTCGTCATAATAGTGTTGATGATTGTGGACTCAGGAACAGGTAGAGATGAGTGCAGCCTCCCCGCTCTCTTTGTTACCCTCCTCGTTCCTCAGATACTACTTCACCTGGCCTGTGAGCACACCCATCTGCCATAATTTGCTGTCTCCTTTTGAGACAAATATTGCTTTTCTAGCTCGTGAACAAATATTGACCTGCTTGGGTTTCAGATGCTACCCCTTGAAACTCCTGCTGGGTTAGATAAACACACTGGGGTAAGAGCTCTTGAGAATAAGTTGCTTTTGGATAGGCTATAATGCAACTGACATACTCACTGAGTCCTTGCAATGGTCAGCACTGTGCTGGCTCCCTGGGGCCCTGATTCCAGGCTGACAGAGGAAGGGCACTGGGCCCTGGCTTCCCTCTGGGAGCTTGTGGGCCAGTGGGGAGGTAGGAATCACAAACTGGGAATGCCTGGAGCTTGTGTGCAAGGCACCTTTATGGATCCTGAATGAAAATTCTTGCCCGAGTAGGCAGTGGTCCTCTGTGACCACTATCTCCCTTCCTTTTCTGTAGTTTTAAGTGGAATTCAGTCTAGTGCCAAAGTGTCTGCGGCAGACAATGGGCAATGTGTTTTGGCAGGAAAGGGAGCTTGGCCAATGATGTGTGGGGAGGAGATGAGAAGAGGGATGGGCTGTGGGGGGTCTAGACTGGGAGGAGGGAATTGCTGTGGTTTGTTAATCCTCTTGTATTCAACTCCCTGACCTGTCCCTCCACCCGCTCCTGGGCCTTCCGCTCTCCCCAGGACCTCCTGCCCCAGGTCTCTATCAGTTGCATGCGTCCAAAGCCCAGTTCCTTTCTTGTGACCGAAGGTTTTTTTCCTCTCCCTGTTCTCTCAGTGTCCTGCAGCTTGGACCCTGCACCTCCCTTCTCAGTCCTTTGAAATGAACTGGGTACTTTTGTCAGTTAGGGCCGCTGCCCAGGCTGGGGGATCCAGGACTTGATCTCATCTGTGTGAGTCCAACCCCAGCGAAGATCCTGGCTAGCCAGAAGGATGGAGGTCAGAGGCCAGGAAGGCTGAGATTCCAGGCAGAAAGGGAGTCAACCTCGAGCATTGACGTGGAAGCAGATTAGGCCAGAAGGCAGAACTGGCTTGACCAGTCACAGGCTCGAGGAGGGAGATCTGATCTTAGTTTGTGTGTGTGGATTAGGCAGAGACTATAATGTATGATGGTCCAAAATTACCGTTCTAGCTCAGTGGGGTAGATTTTTCTTTTTGGCCTCTAGCCAAGTAGCTTGGTTCCCTCCTCTTTGCTAGGGGAAGCCATAGGGCAGGTGTGCACTTGTTAGAGGCCATCCTAGAGCAGGCGAGCAAAATGTTTCCTTTGTGCAGGGGTGGGGGTCCTGGGAAGGTCCCATCCTGGGGGTACCTTAGAGGAAGCTGAGATGCTGGAAGCCAAGACTGACCTAGCATCTGTTTTGATGGGCAAGAAGAGGGGCCTATGAGACCAAGGTGAGCCATACACACTCGGGAAGCCGGCCCTCGACTCCACACATATTGTATCCTTACACAAAAGAGCCGTTTCCCCTACCATACATTACACACATGTGCACGTGTACACACACAGTGAGAGCAAGGAGACCTCTAGGTCTCAGGACCAGATGAGGGCCAGGTTGGGGTTTCATTCAGCTCTGACCTTGGACTTGGTACCCAGGCAGGGAAAGAGTTGGAGCGGTGCCAGCAGCAGGCGGACGAGGTGAAGGAAATCATGCTCAAGAACTTTGACAAGGTCCTGGAGCGCGATGGGAAACTGGCAGACCTGGAGCAGCGTTCAGACCAACTCCTGGACATGGTGTGAGGCCTGGGGGAGCAGAGAGGTGGGGAGGCTAGGAGCCATCCGAGGGAGCAGTTAGGCTGTGTTCAGGGTCTCCAGGCCCTTGCAGGGACCTCAAGGCCAGTGTGGGGCCTATGGGTTTCTTGAGCCACCCCATCCTAGCTATGCAATGGGTAGGTCTTGGTTTGAAGCTGTGGAGCTTCCCAAAGATTGAGGCCTGACATTGCTAACTGGGGGTGAACCCATGGGGCCGCAAGTCAAGGGCTACACCAGTGTCTGAGACTAGGAGTCAGGCCGGGAGGATCCCAGGGCAGGGTATGTGGGGAAAGGGAGCATGCAGATGGAAAGGATGCAGGAGGAGACTACATCTTGCTGGGGTGGGGTTGGGAGGAGCAGGCTCTAGGGATCTGCAGAACCACTAACTCTCATCCTGTGTCTGGGGGCATCCACAGAGCTCAGCTTTCAGCAAGACAACCAAGACCCTGGCCCAGAAGAAGCGCTGGGAGAACACACGTTGGCGTATCTACCTGGGACTGGTGGTGGGTGGTGGCCTGCTCATCATCCTGATTGCATTGCTGGTCATCTTTCTCCCACAGACAAGTGAGGGCAGCAGTGCCCCACAGGCCCAGGATGCAGGTGCTGCCTCGGGGCCTGGGGACTGACCCAGCTGGGCCTGGAGGAGAGGCCAAACGGCCTCAGTGACTGGTTCTGGATTCCAAAGAACCTTGGCATTTGCTCCCACCTGAGCCACCGCAGTTAGCGCCCAAGGGCAACTCCAAAGTGTGCACCTTTGCATCTCCTATCACGCCACACACTGGCCCTTGAGGGCAGCCTGCTGCACTGGCCATGCCAGGCTTGCCCCACTTGGAGCTCAGTAAACACTGCTGCTTGGTTAAAAGCTGCTGTTTGATTAACAGCTGGTGTGTGTGTGTGTGTGTGTGTGTGTGTGTGTATCTTTCAAGGTCTCCAGTTGGCTCATTTTGCTCTGCCTTTACCCTTTAGGCTACTTAGAAAGGCTACCAACCCAAGGGCTCCATTCTTGGGAAGTGGCCCCTTCCACTCACTTCCTTACTTGATCCAACCCTACACAGACAGGTGTAAAGGCACAACTGCCCCCAAACAAGACCCATCAAGTGTTGCCCTCTGAATGTGTTTCCCTGAGAATGAAATCTGTTATTATTCATTCTGGGGAGGCTCAGAGGACCAATGGCATTCCAGATGGGATGGCAAAGAGGAAAGCACTTCAGAGATTTTTATGTCACGAGGCTCTCACCTTCAGATAGACTTTTTGTCTTCTGAACACTTCCTCTTCCCCAGTTTCTCTGCTCGTGTTTTTCCTGAAGCTTTACATCAGATCACAGATGAGGCAGGTGGCAGTGGAAACAAAAAGGGCCACTGTGGTGCTGTGATACAGTCACAAAGGATGACCTGGGGTTTACCCTGTGGGAAAGAATTTGGAAGCCCTGGCTGGGGAGCTCAGTCAGTTAGAGCATCATCCTGATACACAAAGGTTGGGGGTTTGATTTTGGGTCAGGGCACATACAAGAAGCAACTGACCAATGAACGCATCAATAAGTGGAACAACAAATTGATGTTCCTCTCTCTCTCCCTTCCTGTCTTTCTAAAATTAATAATAATAATAATAATAATAATAAAAAGATAGGCCTGGTTGGTGCGACTGAGTGGATTGAGTGCCGGCCTGTGAACTGAAGGGTCGCCAGTTTGATTCCAGGTCAGGGCACATGCCTGGATTTCGGGCCAGATCCCTGGTTGGGCGCATGTGAGAGGCAACTGATTGATGTATCTCCCTCACATCAATGTTTCTCTCCTCTTTCTCCCTTGTTTCCCCTTTCTCTAAGAAGTAAATAAACAAAATCTTTAAAAAAGATAAAAGTAAAAAACACTTTGAAGAAAATAGAGAATTTGAGCTTTTTAAAGCTCCAGGGCCAAACAGGCCAAGTAGGCGGTGACTTCAGTGACCACAGGAAAAAAAAATCTTTGGGTAAAGGCCACAGAAGGGGAAAGGAAGCCCTACTAAAACCTCAAAACCACGGAAACACGGTAGCACATTCCTTGGGCTACTTAACTGCATTTCCAACTCAAGTGGGAGTGGAAAGTGAATTCAGGGTCAAGCATGGATGAGAAGTTCCTTATTAGGTAGAGAGAGGGCTGTTGCCAGAGAAACTATAAAAAACCCAGGAGCTGTGTGGACCCCTCACAGAGCTCATGATTTCAGAGGCAGAATAGTGAGAAGCTAGGAAAATTTCTTGGCCAGTGGAATGGGGAAACTGAGACAGACAGCTGAACAAGCTGACTGAGCAATTTACAGCCAGGTACAGAAGGTCACCAGGTTGGAAAGCCTCAGGTGCCTAGCGACGGGCAAAACTGGTGCCAGACCTCATCCCCAGGGTGGCCTTTCTTCCCCTGGCATATTGCTGGCCATGCAATTTAGACCCCCCTGACCTTTCCTTCCTAGAGAAAATATCTGGGCCTCAATAGCATTGCAGCTCCAGGCCCAGAAAAGTAGCAAAACCAGTGGCAGGTCAGGATCAGTTTCAATGACTAATGACTCCTGGCCCAATTAATAGAGACTGTGACCTTGAAAAGACACACCTGGTAAAGCTGATGAATATTCTATTGAGATCCTTCCCTAAGATCTCCTCTAAACTCCCAGCCTTTGAAACCCTTAAGACGAAGGATCCAGGACACACTCTCCCTTCTGGCCTGTGCCTTTCCCGTCTTTCCCCACCATAGGCATGCATCTCCTGAACTCTAAGGGATCCCATGAGACTTGCAACCAGGGGAGCAATGGGCAGCAGCAGCTTGTCCCAAGCCGACCTCCCTGAACCTGTCCCCAAGGCCCCCCTTTTCTCTTACTTCCCTGTGAGCTAAAAGCAGCCCTGCCTTGGCTCACTTCTTTCCCCTAATGTTTCCAGTGAGCCAAAGCAGCCCTTCCTAGGCCCTCTCCTGTTGCTTCTTCTGTCCTAAGCCCTTCCTTGTTTCACTGTCCCCAGCTTTAATAAACATGCTCTTGAAAATCACCAGGACTTGTGTAGTGAAATCTTTCCTGCACGAAGTCAAGAACCCACGAGTTACAGGCTGGTCCAAGGCAGACTCACTCTGGGCTGGCCCCTGACCTGTAACACTCCCACTGGGCTCACTGCCGTCTTCCTTCCCCAGAAGGATGGAGGAGAGCACTTGGCCTTCACTTGGATCCCATGTGAAAGTGGGCAAGCCACTTCCCTCACCTGGGCTTTTTGTGTGTAAAAAGGAATAACAACACTTAGCTCCCAGGACAATCGTGAGGATTATTTACATGTGTGTAAAATATCCACCCATCAGTGAAGGTTCTAGATGCCAAATAAATGGTAGCTATCATCGAAATCATTTAGTGCTCAACTCTGCCTCATGTTGGAGTCACACGTAGAACTTATAAAAATACCACACCTGGGCCTAGTTCAGTTAAATCAGAATCTTTGAGGGTTAAGTATCAGACTATTTTTTACCCCTGAAGCTGCAACCTCTCCTCTTCTCCAGGAGACTCATGGGTAGCCAGGGATGCAAACTACTTATTTAATTCAAGCCACTACAGGAGCTCAGGGAGAAGTTAGCAATGGGCTTTAGGTCATACTGATAGTCTCATGAGCTGGTAAGGCCCCAGGTTCCCCAGCAAGTATCCCTCTATTGGTTGGGGAGGTTTCCCACCCACCCTTTACTTTTGTGCCTAAAACAAAAGAAATGAGTAGAAAGTTTTGGAATTTTTTTTGGGGGGGGCGGGGGGGGCGTCGGTTCGGGGAGGAATCAAGCGCCATCTCCTGAACCAACTAGAACTCAGGGGTTCATTAATGCCCGGTGGGTCAAGGGTAGAGCAGCGGGAAGTGCCCTGACTACGGGCTCTTCCGCTGGTCTCTTAGACCCCTGAGCCCCGGGCCAGCGTCTCCTTTCCGAGTGACCTTCAGCATCTGCATCGCTAAAGCACTCTGAGCCACAGAACTGACTTGACGACCCCTACATCCCACTTAGCTTTTCAGGAGCTATTGGGCGCGGTCTACACGTCACTCCCACATACCTATCCACTCTAGCCTCAGGCTCAAAAGTTTTGTATTCAGCCCCAGCCCCTGCCATTGGCTCTTGCCTTTGGCCACCTGATTTATTTGAGCCAATGAGAGGTGAGAAAATTAATACTTCCGCTTTCTGTTCGCCTAATGAACCACCGTGTTCTCCTTTCGGATGCTATGATTGGCCATATTCTCTCATCTCGTCAGCTTATTGGCCAGCACGGCGAAAACGTAGTCATAAGGGTCCGAGGGCTGCTGTGTCAGTCAGCTGGGCTGCTATGGCGTCCTACTTTGAGGAACACGACTGCGAGCCCACGGACCCCGAGCAGGAGGCCCGAACCAACATGCTGCTGGAGCTCGCTAGGTGGATGGCCGAGGCTGGGAGGTGGGGCCAGGGAGCAGATTTCTGGGTTGGGGCTGGCTGGAGAAGACGGGTTATCGGGGGTAACAGATTCTGGGGAGGACGGATGAATGATCTGGAGTTAGTCTGGAGGCCCGATTTGAGGGAAATCGATCATTTGAATCGTCTGTGGGCCTCCCGGCTAAGGGGATTCAGGGAAAGGCTGGATGGAGTAGGGGGAGTCGGTGACGGGAGGGCAGCGGGCGCTAGGAGGTGTCGGAGGACAGCCGTGGGGGCGGGGTAAAGGCCGAGTAGGTGTGAGTAGGTCCATTGGTTAGGAACACCAGGCACGTGGACACTGCCACATGGAATCTGGCTTTACCAGGTCACTCCTGGGTGGCCTGAGTAACTTCTCTGAGCCTGTTGCCTCAAATGCAAAATGAGAATAAACAGCCTGCGTGCTTGAGGTTGTCTGATAGCAGCTGTAAACCATTTCTCACTCTGCTTTTAATCTAGTGAGCACTACCGATTGGGGTAGCTAAATTTATTACCACTAGCTCCACAAGGTATTTACCTACTGATGCTGAGTGCATTGTGGAGGCAAAGAGGAAGTATGGTTTTCTTTGATTCTGGCCTTGCGTCTTTCTTCCCAGGTCGCTTTTCAATACTATGGACATTGGAGGCTTGGGATTGGTAGTAGATTGGGAACACCACCTGCCTCCGCCTGCTGCCAAGACTGTGGTTGAGAACCTCCCCAGAATAGTCATCAGGGGCTCCCAGTCTGGTGAGAACACTTTCTGTTCTTTGGGGCAGGTCCGCCAGATCCCTTCCCCCACAGTCCCTCTCAAGTCAGACTGTGCACTGGCCCTTCAGTTTTACAGGCCAGGTTGGGGCAAGTGTCCTTTAGGAGTGGGAGCTGGGAGGTGGGGCCTGTAGCAGCTGTCCTGATGAGCGCTCCCTCCTAAAGAGCTCAAGTGCCCCGTGTGTCTTTTGGAATTTGAGGAGGAGGAGACTGCCATTGAAATGCCTTGCCATCACTTCTTCCATTCCAACTGTATTCTGCCCTGGCTGAACAAGGTACTGCTTCTTTTCCCCCAGCCCTCACTCTCTTCAGTTTTCAAGCCCCTTTCTTTTTATGAACTGCTGGGGATTCAGAGAAGGAAGGGTGAGGGTAAGAACTGGGAATAGGGGATAGACATTAACTTCTAAAAATCAGACCTGGGCTGGAACACTCTTTGACCCAGTGTTTTACTCCTGTTTTACCCAGACAAATTCCTGCCCCCTTTGCCGCCATGAGCTACCCACTGATGATGACACTTATGAGGAGCATAGACGAGATAAGGTAGGCACTGGTGGTAAGTGGAGGGGGGCGGGTAATAGGGCTCCTTCAGGCTGTTCTTGATCTCCCACCTCAGCATGCCTGAGAAGTGAGAGCTAGTTCCATCAAAGCTGCCCCATCCCCTCACCTACAAGCCCTCAGATATGGCCTCTGCCTCTTTCCTTCAGGCTCGCAAGCAGCAGCAGAAGCACCGACTGGAGAACCTGCATGGAGCCATGTACACATGAGGTGGCTGGGGCTGAGTGGTGGTCCTCCACATCTTCCTCTTGAACCTTGAATCCTCATTAAAGGTTTCTTTACCTATCCTGCGACTGCATTGCTCACAGGTCTGGGGCGGGGGGGGGGGGGGGGGTTCTGCACCTTCCATGAGGGTCCTGCTGCTATTGGGGAAGGTGGGCCTGGACTGCAGAAGACACTAGGATACACATCCTTCCCTGCTGGCCTGAGGGCAATGGAGGCCCAGGCCAAGAACCTGGCCACTGGACCAGCTAGGACTTGGGCCTGTGTTCATGGCTAGAAAGCAAAATATGTCACGGTCTGGCACCCAGTAGGCATTTAAAGATGCATCCCTCTTTCCCTGCAATTTTTAGTCAACCTTGGTTGACTATATTTCTTGCTTCTAACATTTTTAAAGCTGCTCTTTACACAACCCTCTGCACCCCTACCCCTTATACGAAGGAATTGAACTTCAAACCAGACTTTGAGTGGGGAAAGGAAGTGTGGGATGATCAGATCAGTCAGTTCTTTAAACTGTTTAAAAGCCCAAACAGGGCTTCAAACTCTTGAGGGGTATTTGGCTAGCACCTGCCATCCTGTTTCTGGCAGCCCTGCTCTCAAAGAGCACTGGGCACTCAGGACTCTTCCTAGGGGCACGGGCTTCTTCCCATTCTTTCTCAGGGAAAGCTGACCTGAATCAGGCCCTCTGACTCTCCAGAACAGACTACAAACATGCAAATTAGAATTCTTTTAATAGATATATATATATATATATATAAAAGTACTAAAATACCCACATGGTTCTGCTGTGTTATTTGCCCTAAAAAAAGTAAGGGGCAGAGTGAAGAATCCCAGGGCCCCAAAGTGGGCCTTCCCACATACTAAGGCATGTCCCCTACCCCCAGCACTTCTATCCTTGCCATTCCCAGCCCCCAATTCCTGCAGCACAAAACCCCAGTAGTCTGGCCCTGGCACTGGGGAGTAGAAGGCACCTGAAGGGTTGGCTGGGTGACTGAGGATATATGACCTTTAAACATAAAGACAGTGGGGAGCGGGTCGTGCACAGCTCAGGCAGCTGCCAGGGCCCGCTCCTCTATGGCACAGGTGGGTGTGGGATGGCCCCTCGTCCAGGAGCAAGGAGGCCTATATCCCAACAGAATACTTTCAAAAATTTTTTGGTATGAAATAAATGCAAAGACATAGGTGGGGAGCAGTGGAGGCTGGGCCAGCCACCCTCTCCAGACCTCAGATCATGGCTATGCTCTCAGGGGCACAGTTGAGGTGAGTGGAGGTGCTGGTGCTCCCGGAGGACTTGCAGGCTCGGCCGGCAGGCTGCAGTGCAGCCACCAGTGTCTCTGAGGAGACTGTCCCAAACTCGTAGCAGAAGGTGCCGTAGAAAATGAGGATGTCGATGACAAACACCCACTCACACAGGGCTGCCCCATGCTGCAGCTGAGAACTCTCATGGATGAAGAAGACGCCGCCTGGAATGGGGCTAAGGAAAGGTCCAGTAGGATGTGGGGGGACTGGCAACACACCTGCCTTCCCGGATCTGTAACTATGCTGGGGAGAAGGACTAGGCCTGACATCTCGGGAGCGGGGGTGGAAAACCACACTGGGCAGTGGTATCTGGAAGGTGTGCCATTCTCCCCCAGTCATGTTGGGTGAGAGAAGGGCTGGGCTATCTTGGAAGGATACTGAGGATCAGGACGACAAAGGCGATGGCTGCCAGCACAATCCTCAGGTAGGCCATAGCTAGGTCCTGGGGGGCGGTGGCCCCGTGGTAGGAGAGGACACAGTGCAGGCAGACAAACAGCAACCCGGCCGGGAAGGCCACACCAGCTCCGATGTAATGCAGAGACTTAGCATGATCCACCTAGGCCCAGAGAGAAGGCTCATCAGTGAAGTAGCCCTGCTCCTCTACCCCTTTCATAGCTCTTCTTTCTCTTCCTCCTCCTTCTCCCAGGCCCTGCTTCCCTCACCACCAACCCCGAGGGGCTGCCTCTGCATCTTGGGTCAACCCTCAGGAACCTTGAGGGTCCGGGCAGGCAGCTATACCCTTTTACGGGAAGTTCAAGAGGTGGATAGGTGGGTCTACCTGAAAGTTTCCGACCACCACAAGGCCTGCAGCATTGGTGCAGCCTGTGATGAGTGTCGTGGTGTTAATCCAGGAATGCCGACTCTGCTCCAGGAGCTGCCCGTAGAGCAGGAGGCAGAGCAGGGCCACTGGGGAAGAAGAGCATGAGTGGAGCCTGCTAGCTCTCACCCCTTCAGACACTCTGAGAGCCATGAGGGAATAGATGGGTGGGTGGTGAATTGGGTTTCCTCAGGTTCCAGCCAGCAGAACGGCCGTGTGGGAGTCAGCCTCTGGCTTTCATGAAACAGGGATAGAAGTGGCCCCTCTTGTTTCAGCCCTTGGTTGGGTAGCCCTAGGTAAGCAAGGGCTTCCTGGGGGGAGGGTGTGGAGGGATGGGCTGGATCGGGCTGGCTATGGGGGCTAAGGGCACAACTCACCCATGAAAGCACCCACGTTGCCAATGAGGCTGAAGAGGCAACTCTCTGGGGGATATGTGCCGCACTTGCTGAGGGGAGGGGGGCAAGGACAAAGTGAGAGAGGGGCAGGAGCATCAGAGGGCCCCCCTTCTGGCCCACTTGCTTTCTCTGTGCTTGATTTAAGCCACTGATTTATGAGAAGGACCAGTGTTTCTCACAAACTGGTCCCAGGCTGGCACTCCCTCCCCTCCAAATAAAGCAGAGCTTATGTGTGACAGGTTAGGAAGTACCCAGGATTGCTGGGCAGACCCTGAGATTTCTTGGACTCCCCAAGACTGTCGAGGTCTGTAGCTGGTTTGGCTGTCCTTGAGCCAGATCTTGAGCTGGGCAATCAGAGGGCTTCAGCTTAAATTTAGCTATCTCTACTTAAGAGCTGCATGACCTAAATGGATGACATACCTCAATTTCAGTTTCCTTGCCTATAAAATAGTGAAAACAATAGCTGCCTCAGTGCTGGGAATTAAATGGCGTTATTCATGCAAAGCGTTCAGCACAGTGCCTGGCACACAGTAACTGTCAAGGGGCACTGTTATTAAGTGCTCTTAATATAATTATTATTCCTGTGAGACCCTTTGGGGCAGGCCTTTGCTTGATGAGACGCTTGGCTGGGAGTCTATCAGTGCCTTGGATCTCTGATCTGCCCAGTTTCCAGGCCTTACCTGATGAGGGGGACATCATCTAGGGTGCAGCAGGTCTTGGGACCCCCTTGCTCAGTGGGGTCAGGAGAGCAGGACTCGTTGTAGGACCTGGAAGGCAGGACAGAGTAGATTGGTGGAAACTGGTTCCCTTAACCACCGGGCCTTTACTTCAGAGACCACCCTACCAGACCTCCCATATCAGGGAGCAGAAGAACCCACTTCCCAGGGCCTGCCTGAGACGGAAGCCGAAGGGGCGAAGGGATGATGGGAAGCAGGTAAATGGGCACGAAGCCATGCCTGGGGAGGGCAGGCGCGCCAATGTCAAAGAAGAGCAGTGAGGCTCAGGGTCTCCGTCTGGCTCGCAGCAGCCCTGGCCCAAGAGGGAACAGAGATGAAGGGAGCTTTAGAGTGAAGCTGCCTGCAGAGTGCGCCATACCAGTTCTCCACAGGGCACACGTGGCGGTTCATCACGGCCATGGCATACCTGTGGGAGCAGAACTGTCACCTGACAACCCTCCCAGCCAAGCCCAGCCTTCCCCCACTGACCACTGTCTTTTCCCTTGATTCTGGCCCCATTCAGCCTCATTGTCCTAGCTAGGGATTCAAGCTGGGGTGGCCCTGAGGCCTGATGTTACTCTAGAACCCACCACATAGCCACAAACTAGAGGATCTCTGGAAGTTGCTCTGACTAGCAGTAGGTCTTTTGGGGCCACCTTGCTGGACAGCTTGTCCCAAGGGACTGACTGTGTGCCCAAACACCAGGCCAGGCTTTGGAGACAGATGACCCTGGGTATCACCCTGGAGCCTGCAACAGGACAAGGGACTTTGTGTGTCCCATCAAGCTCCTGGCTAGGTCCTGTCCCTCCTCAGCCTGGGCCCATTTTGTTCCCTTGCTGTCTCCCCCTCCCCCTCTTTACTTACACAGTCCATAGGCCAGTGATGGAGAATGCTGACAAGCTGACAGGAAGGAGGATCCAGGCGGTCATGAGGGGGGGGAGCCAGGGTGGTAGTAGTGTGGGAGGGATGACAAGAGGTAGGTGGGGAGGAGGGGGCAGGACCAGCTACCTTAAGATACTTCTCCAAAACCATCAACTGCCCCAGCCTGGTGGAGAGAGAGGGGTCAAAGTCCAGGGTCCAGTGAATGGCTAAAGCCGTAAGGGGTGGGGTGTTAGGGCATCACCTGATTTGGAGCACCCACTGGAGCTAAGTGCCCATATTTTGGGCTCAGCCCACACCACAATGTGGTCACCTCTGGCACCCACTGGGGCCTCCGCGTCCCACCCAAAAGCCACCGGCTTGCTTAGGGACTCAGGCGGCGCCATAACATCTGCACAGGTAGTAGTCACCCTCCCTCGCCTAAGGTAGCCAGGCTGGACGCCAGGCTACAGTTAGGACGGTCTAGGGGACAAGCCAAAGAAAGCCTGGAGGGGATCCAGGCCCGGTAAAGGGGCGACTACCGCACCCTGGGGGAAGGGCGGGCTCAAGCGGGAAGCCCAGCCCGGCCGGCGAGTCTCCGGAACTGGGGAACAAGCCTTCTTCGGTGATCCTTGGGGGTCCTGAGAAGTAGGGGGCCCAGTACGCACCTCCCCAGAGCGCCCCGCGGCTGCCGCGCACTACTCAGTCCGGCGTGGCGCCATCCGGGGCTGAGGCCCTCAAAGCGGCCCTGCAGGTTTAAAGGGCCGGCGGCCACGCCCCCACCCTAGGCCGCGCGGCGCCGCGCCGCCCGCCGGGACCTGGAGTCCGTGCCTCGCGGGCCCCCGCGCTCGGCTCCGGACTACAAATCCCGAGCCCCAGCGCAGAGACCCGGGGCAATGGACGTGCTGTCCAGCCTCTGGGACCCGGGCACGATGACTTCGGCAGCGGCTGTGACTCGGAGATGTCCAAAGGATAGTTCCGGCTCCCCGTTCCTGCGGTGGAAGCTTCAGGAGGCGGGAAGCGGTGGTGGGGGTGGGGGTGGGGGTGGGGGTGGGGCGGTGCAGCACCTTACAGCATCACCTGTGATCGTCATTGTGCACGTGGCTGAAGGTAGCCTCCCTACGCCTCTGGGCACATTCCACGGCGGGGAAGGGCCGACAACACAGACTCCGGGTTATCTTATCGTGGCGCCCCATGCCTGCCTCTGTTCCAGGCTAGGTGCCTCGCAGAGTAGCATAGCTCTTCCTTAAGGTCAAGCACCCATGATTTGACTTATGCTTCCACGGACGCAGCAAATTCTGGAGGGCGCTACTTTCACCGGATACGTTTTCAAGGGTACAAGTACACATAGTACTACTGTCCAGAAGTCAGTCTCCAAAATATGTTATCCCACCGCTCAATACTTACTTAACTTGAAGCACAGAGGCAGAGGCCAATTCTAAGTAGACGCACATGGCCAGGTGTTGGTATGCAACAGAGGAAGGTGGGAGACCCTGAGCAGTTTAAGAAAAGGAAGCAGGATATTGTGGAAATAAATTAGCTACCAGCTGCACACCAAAACCTACAGGGCAAGGGTGCCCTCGTGGTCCTTTTCCTAGTTAAAAAGGCGGAATACTTCTTTGAACATACCAGAAGGGTGCCTGGAACTCTAAAAGGAAGCCCAGCATCTGTTGGGAGCTTTTGTGAGAAGACACTGGCGCCAACAAATCATTATCTTAAGAGCATGGGCCCAGGCTGCCAGGAGGCAGGGAGTTGTCAAGTTCCACAGCATGGGTGAGGCAAAGGTAAAACTGCCCAGTACTGGGAAGAAAAAGCAGATAAGCTGGACAATGGCTTGAAAAAAAGAGAAAGCTTTTTTGGATCCAGTGGCAGTTAAAAATGGAAAGAGGAAACCTGTTGGAGAGACCTTTTCCAAATTGCATCAGGACAAGTAGTGGAAGCATGGCTGTATGGAGTGATTACAAGATGACCAGGCTGAACGGACCAGTGGGATGTAAAATTCAGTCCAGCTGCTGCTGGCTGTACTCAGTGCCCCAGGACAAAGGGGTCCCTCTTTCCGATTCACAGTGGCTCCATCTTCTTGCTCAGGTGTGTTTCTGCTGGCACAGGCCCTTTTTCTCATCTGCCCAATGGTGCTATGAATCCTCACCATTTCCTATTTCATCAGTAGCTTTGCCATTTTTAGTCAATACTGTTTCTTACTGATCTGGGTTTGTGTTCCTGTCCAACCTTTATCTTGGGGTTGGCCCGAGAGGACTAGTCAAGTTCTAAACTGGCTGTTTTAACATAAAGTGGGTAGACAAGCACTGTAGAGCTGTGACAAGGGAGATTTTAGCTTATATGACATTGTAAGTAGTCCTTAAAATAGAATTACCCCCCAAAATAGAGCTCCCTGGGACTGAAAGGCCCTTCATGTGTAGTCGGTAAAGGGGGAGTCATGTATCAGACAAGTAGGACCAGATGTCTTTAAAAGTCTCTTCCAGCTCTAAAGCCACATGAGTCTAGATGTTATGTTCCCACCAGGACAGTTCTTAAAATAGGCTAAAGCAAGAGATAAGATTTCAAATGCTGATTCTGTGGTGCTGAATGAGGTCAGGGGCAGGCATTTAACCTTCACTTTCCTTACACACACAAGTGATTTCACAACTCTTGGCAAAAACAGTGCTGTAAAAATAATGTTTATTGGTTAAAAACAATACTGTCTTTGAAAAGTACCTTCCTTCCAGTATTTTCAAATTATTTGCATACTTCACTTTATTCACCCACAAAGCAGAAACATTGAAATGAGAAAACAGAAGACTCTATGGCTTTTATACATTTAACATCACAGCATAACCAGTGCAACCAGTCTGCTGTTCTGGTGGCTTTGAGAAGGCAGGGGAGCTCTTCACTCAGGTTTTCACTTCTAGTATCACTCCAGTTACTGAGGAAATTTGGGGTGGGTGCCTATGGCTTCTTTTTGAAAAAAGATTTTACTTACGTATTTTTAGAGAGAGGGGATGGGGGAGAGGGAGAGAACCATCACTAGGTTGCCTCTTGTACACACCCTGACTAGAGATTGAACTCGTAACCCAGGCATGTGCCCTGTCCAGGAATCGAACCATCGACCTTTTGCTTTGTGGGACGGTGCTCCACCAACTGAACCACACCCATCAGGGCCTTATGGCTTCTTAGCCATCTAATTCCTCAGGGCGAGGAATTCAAGGAGGGAACTTAAAATGTTTCAAATAATTTCCAACATTCCAATGTGATTCTCCCAAAATCTCAGAGGTAGGAAAATAGCCTGTCTTTACTTCTCTTTCTATATATAAAGGTTTCATTTATATTTGTGAACCAGTTGGGATCTACTACCCAACCACCTACAAATCCCACTGAATGCAACGCAGGTTGAATACCCACTACCCTAGGCTCACCTCTAGTTGGCAGTGCCCTCAGGGGAGACCACGGAGATGGAATGTCCCTTTCAGAGGCTCTTCCATGGGAGAATTTGGTACTGCCCACGCTGGTCCTGCTATCTGGCCAGCCTCCACAGGCTCCTACTCTCTCTCACTCAATACAAAAATCTTTACATTCTTTTCTTGCTTTTTGTTCGTCAAAGATTTCCATGCTTGCCAACTGGCTGGAACTCAAGCTTTAGTGTTTATTTTTGCACAGCCCAAACCCCTGCAAACCCCAGCTTCCTTTTGTATTTCCCACTGTGGCCCAGGAAACACAAAACCTTAAAATCCAAGGCTTACCCTCAGTAAGTGAAGGAACACTTACATAAGATACCTATCAGGCTACCAGACTATTTTTTAGATAGCCAAGAATGCATCTAGTCAAGTGGGTATGGAATCTGCTGCAGCCTGCTGGAAAGCTCCAGCTAGTCCAACGCTGTTGCCATTACACCATACAGCACCGGACAAATCCCTTTTGGGAACAGCTAGAGCCTATGGGAAATGCTCTGAACATTTCCCTTGATGGAAAAGCACCGATTTTGAAAATAGGTGAGAGACGTCTGGAGGCAAGCCTAGTGAATCAACTGGGGCCCAGATAATGGGTGGCAATAACCAATGAGCCTGTGCTAGAAAGCTCTCTGATGGCTGAGGGCCATCACCAGAGAAGCATTTCAGGCACGCCTGGAGCAATGGCAGCCTCATCACCAATAATTCTTCTCTGAAGGACTACCTCAGTAAGTACCAGGCCTAGTGATTTATAGAGTCATACTGCATAAATTCGCTAAGAATTAGAATACCTTCTTGAATGGAAAATATTTTGTATTCACTTGATAGGCAAAGTGCTTCAAGAAAAAATTTACATGCAAGCAGTTCCCATCAGTTTCTTACCTGAGTGTGTATGGATTACATGACAAATACATAAAGATAATAGGTACATGCTTCCCTTCTCACAAAACAGAATAGAGGCTAAACTTTCAGGTGCTATGCCCAGCCTCTTCTGGTCTTGTTTCTAAATTTCTATAATAAATCCAGGAAGCAGGCCATTCAGCTGTGAGAAGATGGACCCCAAAGGTATTTCCAGATTGGGAAGCCCAAGAGTTCCAATGAGATTCTATGTCCAAGTCAGAAGATCAGTTGAAGAGCTGGAAGACTAAAATAACTGGTTCTCTGAGCTGCAGGGAGATTGGGATGATGGCATAGCCTCCTGGACTCAGGAAGCTCTGGAGGGTAGTTAACATTGTAAGTCAAAAGGCACTTGGAGTCCAGCTGAATAAATAGAGGGCAGACTTTCTCCTTTGAAAGTAGAACTGTGCTCAGGACTGGCAAGGTTAAGGCCTTTAACCTTGGGCCAGCTCTTTGGGCCAGGAGCACTGTGGTCCCTTCACAACCAGGTCCTTTTAACTTATCCGCCTCACTCACCTTCCGGCATTCTTCTGTCACTGCAAGCTGTGGCTAGTTGCATTTTAATAATGTGCTTTAAGAGTGCCCTCAGGTGTCCTCTAAGAGAAAAGCTGCTGAGATGGACCAGCTAGACTGATCTTGAGACCCTGATGTGGAGAAACCCCTGGGGCAGGGGGACTTTGGTTTCAAGAAGTCTCAGTGCTTGTGGGCTCATGTAACCCCCAAATTTCAAGTCACTGAGGTTAGGCTACTGTGCTGGAAAACTTAAGTGGCAGGGAGCAGAATGGATGCCCTGTGAATTTCTCAGAATTCAGCTTCAACCTGCATTAGGCAAAATGTTCACTTAGGTGAAAGCACTGATATTCCTGGCATGTTTATTCTAAGGATTTGTTGGGAGATTATATACTCTTGAAAGTCAGGAAAGGAGAAGGAATGGGGCAGGAATGAGAGATGTTCATTTTACTTCCTTTGGGGTATTGTGCCTTTTTTAATCTTTGCAACTATGGTTCCAAACAGGCAATTATTGCTGCTGAATTTCTCTTTAACAGTTCAAGACTGTTAAATCACATTTGGAAGGGCAGTTTCAAGCATGTTTTGATAATTCCTCTTTAGGGATGAGGTTGAAAGCTAGAATTCTAGTCTTAACCAAGGAAAATTTTGCTGCAAGAAATTCTTGAAATTTAGTTTTGGCATCATCTTCCTAAGTCTCCTTATCTAGATGGTGCAAAACAGTGGAACCTGACAGAAACTTGAAAAAGCCATGGAAGGAGAGGGAGACACGCTGGCAAGTCAGCCTCAAAAATGAACACCTCTCCCTGTATTGATATCAGATTACTG